CAAATTAATGCAGAACACCATAAAATTCCAACAGGTTCATATACTTTTTCTTGCAACTGTACATGTTTGAACCATGTATTCAGTCCTCAACATTGAGACTGCTTTTACATCATGATTTCAGACCTCATGGCTGAAACTCCATGTCTAGTTTTTAGAGGGTTTTTGCTTCTCCATCCCGTTTTTTGCAATGTCTTCCTTGATGAATTCTGGAAAACAGAAAAGCTTGCACATTTTTTGTACCCTTTTGGTTTATCCTAATAAAAATGTTATTAAACTATGTGTCTTGAGTGTATAAGCTCATTACAGATCAGTTTAAAGATGTAAACACCAGTAACTTTTCTGACAGGTTGAAGAAGCTCAAGCAGTTATGGAAGGTGAAATGCGAACTCAGCTACGCCGACAAGCTGCTGCACATGCTGATCACCTAAGAGATGTTCTCAGAATCCAGGAACAAGAACTGAAGCAACAATTTGACCAGGTGGGAGTTTGCATTATTATAGTGAAAGATCTTTTAAGTGCAGTGCTTTACTTCATCCTCAGAGATTTTCCTCAGTATGGAATAAGAAAATACTAAGGCTGCACAAAACATTTTAATACTTTGCATACTTGTTTTGCATACAAAACATTTGCATACTTTGCGAGTCAGGATGGCTTCCTTCAGAGCTTTCTCTGCTTTGCTTTAACAGCAATTCCAGGAGATATCCTGAAATACCAATTTGCAGAACAGAAAGCCCCTGAAGTAACTGTACTGAGACTTCGAAAGATACAGCTATTTTTTTCTCCATCATTCTCCCCATTTATTTTTACAGAAAAAAATGTAAAAGCAGCTTTTCCCAGAATCCTCAGATGCATTCTAACCTGTTGTGAAGCACCACTTTTTAATGCTTTGTATAATCCAAGTAAACTCCAACAATGTCCCTTGAACTGCAAAACGTTCTGTGCACAGTTCATTCTGTGTGTGGAAGAACAAGTTTTGAATGATGCATGTCCATAATGAAAGAAACATGCTTTCCCTTGTCAAGGATCTGAAGCATGCTTGGTCTGGGCATGGACCTTAAATGCATATATCTGGGTAGGGATGTTACGAGGGGTAGGGAAAATGGGAAGGCAGCTGACAGCAGCAGCAAAATAGGCGTAAGGGAGAGGAGGATGTTGGGAAGCTGTGAGAAAGTTTGGTTCTACTAGGCTTGAATTCTACAGTGGCAGTGGCTAAAGGGAGATAAGGGGGAAAAAAACTGGGAAGATTGGTGGGGAGAAGCAGATAGGCTGGGTCTGTCATGCTTAGCATGGTAGGTAAGAGGACATTAAAAGGAAAGGAAAGCATTGGGAGAATCAGTGGGTTATGTGGCGTACAGGCCATGCAGAGGTGATGGGGAGAAAGGGGCAAGACAGACCTTACCCTATTTATTCTGTAATATTTTTCCAAAGTTTGTCTTGGGTGAAACTGCGAACAACCAAAGTGTTCCAGGTTTTGGTTTGGCTGTCCTGTGCCCTCCCTAGAATAGTTCAGCTGAATTTCTGAGCTCCAGTGTGCTTGTTTGGGGATTGAAACAAAATACATTTCCTGATTCATGCACTCCTCTACTCAGGTGTGCATTCATTGGTGGATTTCTTGGAATTTCCTTTATCAAGCTCATGATGAAATTCCAAATACCCAGGATAAGGCTTATTTCTGCATGGTAGATGTCATAAACAAGGAAGACATGAAAAATGACAGATAATCTTTTTAAAGTAGACTTTTCCTCTTTGGGTAGGACAGGATCTTTCATAATTGCTTTTAAACATTCCCAGAGATATTTAATAGTAAATTTAACTGATTTTTTTTTCCTTTGGGGAATGGTTCTTTGAGATTAATATTGCTATACTTAGTTATTCCTTGTTGCAATAAGGAAATTGGGGCATTCATCTCTGTGTGATCTTGGTGCAATAGCCTTGCCCTCTGCATTCACGTTTTTGCACCCTCAGAACTTTGAGCATTGGGAAGAGGGTCTAACAGGACAATTTTCAAACGAAAATCTCAGCCTGTTGTCATTCTGATCTGTTCTTATCTCCACATGACAAGTGCCTACTGGCTGGTAATTATAGGAATTGAAGTTGAACCTATGGAGGATATCCTCCATGCCATTAAGTTTCTTAATGCTCTTGATCATGTGGAGAATACAAAATGTATTCAGCTGAATGTGAGAAGGCTCTCCCTTAAGACTGTCCAACCAGTGCATGAAGGTTAAAGATGCAGGGATGTTTTGCAAACATGGACATAATGTACTGAGAACGTGAAACTTTTTCACCAAGTTTTTTGTTTCAGAACTTGTCTGAAAAACTCAGTGAACAAGAACTTCAGCATAAACGTCTTCATCAGGAGCAGATAGACAACTTCACTCTGGATATCAACACAGCCTATGCCAGACTGAGGGGAATTGAACAGGCAGTTGAAAGTGAGTACCGTATGGAAAATTGTAACAGGAATGTGCTATCTTTAGTAAAATCTGGGTGGCTACTTTTTTAATTTATTTGCTTGTTTTGCTGAGTTGGTAATTCCATTCTAGCAATCTGTTCTGTTCCAGGACGTTTACCCAAATTGGAATAGGTAAAACGATTATAAACAGACTGGATTGCTGGATTGTTCTTTCATTGCTGATGGAAAACTTTCAGACTCCTCTGTGGAAGAGATGAGTTAAATTGTATGCTAAATCAGTAGTGCCTAATGCAGTTGTTTCCCTTCATGTGTAACGGATGTAATACTGTCCTCTATTCACCCTTTAGTTAACTAATGAAAGAATGCTTGTGTGCCTGTAGATTAGTTTCCCAGTTTTGTTAGAAAAAGGAATATCTTGCCACATGTAAGGTCAGGCTCCAATTTTTGTTAAAGAAAAAAGAGAACGGATAGATCTTTTATTTAGTACAGTCGACTGTCAGATTGTATCTGTTTTGCTTAGGGGTGCTAAATAGGGATGTGTTTCTTTTTCCAACATTTTAAACTTAGTTGCAAAAGTGGTGGGAAAAATAATTTGTCCATAGTGTGATGTAATACTTTGTAAGTTGTTTTAGGGGAAGAGCTATATTGCAATGGATGAGCAGCAAGTATTTTGACTGGATTTGCTCATTATTCTAAAATGTAACTTTTGAATTCTTTTGCAATAAGTTACAGTTGGTTTCATTTGCATAACACATTCAGCCAAGGGTATACAACTTCCATTGGCTCAATAACTTCTGTACAGCTTTCTTCAAGTGTGGGCATGTTGCTTTTATTATTTTAGTCTATTTGTATTATTTTTATGTAGTTTATTTCATCCATAAAATTACCCAAAAAAAATCCTATAAAAGCTGCAGTACCTTTTTTGTATTATATACACACTGTATCATTATTCTTTTTTCTTCTTTTTTTCTTTTAGCTTCAGGTCTTAGTCTCTGCAGGTAGGGCTGAAGAAAGCTACCTACACACCCATTGGTGGTACTGAGCTTGACTGGGTTGTTCTGACCTGATAAAGAGCAGCTTCCTGTTTCTGTCAGTATCTTGTTTGTCTTACCACAGTCAGGTCTATTGAACAAATCAAATACATAATTACTGTAGCTTATTACAAAAAATACACAGTTAAATGTGTTTTAGAATAGTGAAAGAAAATAAGTTAATTGTGTCATTCTTCATGTCAGTGGCATAGCTTCAGTGTAAGGTTTGAAGCCAGTTTGGTCTAGTGGTTCAGGCACCAGGCTAGAAAGCAGGAGACTGCAAGTTCTGGTCCCACCTTAGGCACAAAAGCCGGCTGGGTGACTTTGGGCCAGTCACACTCTCTCAGCCCAACTCACCTCACAGGGATGTTGTGGGGAAAATAACAGGAGGAAGGAGTATTAGGTATGTTCGCCACCTTGAGTTATTGATAAAAAATGATAAAGGTGGGGTAAAAAAAAAAGTGCTGTGAGCTGATGAACTACATGCATTATAAATTTGGGCTGTATCTTTCTATTGATTTAGAACTTGTGTTCAAGCTATAAGTGAATTTTTTAATGCATTCTAGAGTTTACTTTCCTTCCATTAAATGTGTGGGATTTTATATTACAGGCCATGCGGTTGCTGCAGAAGAAGCCAGGAAAGCCCATCAGTTGTGGCTTTCAGTTGAAGCTTTAAAGCAAAGCATGGGAACTGCTGCTGGGGATAGACCCACAGAGCCTTTGGAGGATGCGGTACAGTCTATCCAAGTCAGCTGTCCTGACGACGCATTCACCCAGGCCTTAACTGCTACCCTTCCCCAAGAATCACTCAGTCGTGGGGTATACACCGAAGAGGCACTAAGGGCACGCTTTCACACAGTCCAAAAGCTGGCTAAGAGGGTGGCATTGATAGATGAAACGAGAAACAGCTTATATCAGTACTTCCTGTCTTATCTGCAGTCCCTTCTCTTGTTTTACCCTCAGCAGCTGAAGCCACCACCTGAGCTTGGCCCTGAAGACCTGGACACATTTAAGTTGCTCTCTTACGCATCCTACTGCATTGAACATGGAGACTTGGAATTGGCAGCTAAATTTGTCAATCAGCTGAAAGGAGAATCCAGGAGAGTGGCACAGGACTGGCTGAATGAAGCTCGGATGACCCTGGAGACAAAACAAGTTGTGGATATACTGACTACCTATGCTAGTGCTGTGGGCTTGGGAACAACTCAGGTGGACTAATAAGCCAGCTATGCAGGACTACTGTATCTTTAACATTAGTCAAATAAAGTACAAGATTTGCAATAGTACTGGGAAAATTGGTGGGAGACCTCAATTGGTTCCAACCATACAAGAAACTTAGTGTCATTGGGAAAGAAGTGAATGAAGTTCCATCTCCTGGTACTCTTCTAAATCTTAGCACCTGTTGCATTTGCATTTTTTCCCCTCAGCCATTTATCATGTCTGGAATGTGTTTTTGTTTTTGTTTTAATTTCATAACACAAGTTTCCAGGTATTACTGATTGGGCTTGTGAACCCACCAAAATAATGTTTATAACCTCTTACTGATTTGCCATTTGGCTCAATTAAATAAATGATATTTAAAAGGCTTGTTTTTCAATCCTGCTCAAATCAAATAGAAGATTTCCAAAGAAAACCCAGTCAAATTGCAAAAGAAGCAGAAGAAATGAAAAAAAATGCATAAACAACATTATGTGGAAACAATGTATCTGTTTCCAGAGCAGAAATATAAATATTTCTTGTTTGGTATTGAACAGATAGGGCATTATTGACAGATTTTATATTTTCAGATACTGTGCTGTTTTTAGCAATGGTACATTTCACACATTTTTCTTTATGGGAACTTTGACCCAAAAATGATTTCTCCCAAGAAAACTGCATGATAGACATTAAAAAGCCCAAAGCCTTGTTTACAATAGCCGTTTCTTGCCTAAGGAAGCAAAGAAATACTGCTAGGATTTTTCCCAATATTTTTATTCAGAATCGATTGAGAAAGTTTTTCAATTTATTTCTATATTGGCCTCCCCCCCCCCAAAAAAAATCACCCTATTGAGAGCAAATGGTGTCACCAGCTGTGTGGGTCTACTCTACTCTTCAGGCGGGATGAATTGTCTGGAAATAAGTTGAAGCCATGTCTATGAGAATCTAATGGCTCTGAAGAAGCGCTACTGTATATGCATGTGTAGTGTGGCTTCCAGTGTCTAATGGTAAGAAAAAGGATTGTGCAAATTTCAGAATATGTAAAGAAGTGCTTGGAAGAGAAGTAGGGAGTCTGTATAATTATCTGATTTCTATTCTATGCTGCCAGACCTCTTATCTTCCATCTATCTTTAGCTTCTGAGAAGATAAGTGAAGGGTAGGAAAGTTTCTGTAGTGGCGCTTCTTTGCGGTCTTCAGCCATACTTTAATCAGCAACGCTGGCAATCTTCTTTGGACTTGCTCCCAAACACTTCAAGAGTAACTCCCCTTGAACTAACAATTCTACATCAGTGTAGCACCACCCAGCCCTTCTCAGGATCACCAGCCAATATTGCTCTTGACTAAAGTAGGCAAGGTGTCAAGCTAGAAACTGGGAGACCCTGAGTTCTAGTTTTTCCTTAGGCACAAAGCCAGCTGGGTGACCTTGGGCCAGTCACTCTCAGTCATAGGAAGCAGACAAAACCTTGCCAAGAAAACTGCGGGGACTTGTCCAGGCAGTTGTCAGGAATCAAGACTGACTGAAAGGCACAGAAAAGCAACAACCCTATAAATCTTCAATAGCCAATTCTGTTTAGTTACATAAGATTTATAATGCTACCTGACTACATGATGCGTCTGGGTGGCTAATAACAAAAACAATGCAAAACTATAAAGCAGAAAGCAGACAAAAATTATCTGAAAGAGAAAAACCAACTCAATTTTAGGAGATGCTCGCCAACCTAACCAAGGGCTGGAAGAGCCATGTTTTTTAACAATTTTTTAATTTAGGTAAAATAAGCCATATGAATCTCAGGGGATGTTGTTCCAGAGGGAAGGTGAACCAACAGAAATGGCCTGCTTCCTGGGTTTCATCAGATTACCATGTTTGATCAATGGGATAGAGTAAGCCAACTCTAAACAGGAGAAACTACTGGAGAGAAATGATCCCTCAGAGAGCCAGGCCCTATGCCATGCAGGGATTTATAGGGGGTAACCAGCACCTTGAATTACACTCAGAAGCTAAATGGCAACTAGCGCAGCTCATAAAGCAGAGTATTAACATGGCATGCCATGATACACCCATTAATCCCCATGTTGCTGCATATTGGCCAGTTGAAGCTTCCAAGTGGTTCAAGGGCAGCCCCATGTAGAGTACATTGCAATAATCTGTCAGCCCTTCAAGGTAGTCCAGACAGGAATCAAAAACCATGAGTACTAATACTACCTTTATTGTTAAGTTACAGTAACAGAATCTTGCAAGTCTGAAAGTTACTTCCCTGCCTTTACTTTCCAGAGAACTTTCTCCATACTCATCCCCATCCCTTCTTGGGATGCAGATTTCATTTATCAGACCATTGTCTAGGCTGTGGCTCTTCCTCCAGTCTCCCAAGGTTATTCTCACAACCCATTACAAATCCTTACATGAGGTGACCAGCACATAAGTGACCAAAGGGCCTCCTAGTCCAGGAATAAGTGCAACTGGTACATGAGATAACCTGTGCAAAGGCCTTCCTAGCCATAGCTGCCACATGCTCTTCAAGCAGGAGCTGCAAGTCAGGAAAATCCCTAGTCTCTGCATTTGTCCTAAATGGGAAAGTGCTATTCCTTCCAGGTCTAAATATAGAAATTGTCTAGGATTGGGTAGCCAAAATACTCAAAGCAATTTGGTCTTGGTAGGGGTGAGCCTGAACCTGTTACTCTCTATCCAACCCTCACCGCCTCTAGGCACTAGGACAGGATATTGGCAACATTGATTAGTTGACCTAAGATAGATAATACCTGACCCCAAAACAGATGTCCTCTCCTACTTGCCTCATGTAGATGTAAATCAGAATGGGTAAGAGCATCAAACCCTGTAGAATCCCACATCAGAATCTTCAGGCAAGATCTATACCCCACCCCACCCACTGCCAATACCAACTGAAACTGCCCACAGAGGTGGTAGTCTAGAAGGATATCCCATGATTTATATGAAAAACCGTGAGAGATCAAGGAGAGTCAGGATGGTTGCACCACTCCCATCCTGGCTAAGCAAACAAAGCTGTCTCCATATCTGCCCTTGTCTGAATCCTGACTAAAAAGGGCCTACGTAATATATTTCCTCCAGGGTCCTCTGAAGCTGGAACTTGACCAACTAGAAAGAATCCAGCTCCAAGCAAATCCAAGTGATTTTATCAGCCAGATAGCTAGAGTATTCTTCTGCAAATGATCCTGTTGTTCGTCCCTCCCCAGCATGGACTGAATTTGGCAGAGTCTGCACACTCATTTCCCAAGTTCAGTAAATCCTCTGGACTCTATTTGATTCCATCAAAGATTTCTTTATTAAGAAGCAGCATACAGCTTCTATAGATTGAGTCTAATTTTCCCCAGCCTAAAGCTTTCCTTTTAACCCCTTTTCCCCCTTCCTTCTACTCTAGTTTCCCGCTTGAAATTCTTCGCGCCTTTCTCCTGGTCTCACGACTGCTTGACTTTGTTGGTGCCTCTAACCAAGATAACAGTCGCACCTGGCTCTGGATGTTTTCATTCCTCTCCTCTCCTGACTTTTATGGCAGGAACAAGCAAGCGGGCATAGAATTAACAACTCTAACATTTAACCCTGTGAACTATGCATCACTATTCTACTATTTATCTCTGCCTTGATTGCTAGCTTGCGCAGATCTTGACAGAATTACCTTAAATAGAGGTGCTGAATGGCTAGTTGCAATTGGAATAAACATGGAAACTTAACTATGTTTTGTCCCTCTTGTCACCTCAATGCAATCCCTAACATGGATTTCTACTTGTGCTTTCTGCTCTTAATCCTTTTCCAATGGTGCTCTAGGCATTTCCACTGATACTTCATCTCCCAGAGCTCTTCAGAGAACAAAAGACATTGCACAGGAGCAATCCAGTTAAGGCCCTCATCACAAGCCCGTTCCAGGCTGCAACTGGGCCCTAAATTCAACTGCCACCAAATCCTCAGGAAAAATCCCAAGCACCCTCTGGGTCCATTAGTTGCCTGGGGTCAACCAATCTAATAGGTCTACATCAGCAAACCAAAAAGCAATCAGAGAGTGATCTGACTGTGGCAAAAGTTTCACAGTAATGTCTTCCAATACCAGATCACACTGCAACTGCTCTGAGACAAAAAATAAAGTGTGACCTTGAGTCAGGTCCAGCCCAGGGATGGATGTTACTGTGCATTAGATAGACTGGCACAGCAGCAACAAACCCAGTTGCTCCCTGGAGTCCAACTTCAACCAAAGGGTTTCACATCCTGTTATCTGGGGGCAGTGTCTCTGAAAGCCATCAGGGTCTTTCAGATGACAACCCCTTGTTTCGGCAGGTGATGCCAAACATGAAACCAAGGTGGACACATCTCCAAGGGGGAAATTCCTCCCTCCAGGCCCCCAGTGATATCTGTTACACTGGTTACCTCATCAACAGTAAAATCGTGGATGAGAATAAATTTATTACATATTGGCCTTGTGTTCAGTAGCAGCAGCTAGAGTCCAGATGGAGAACCAGTTTGGTGTAGTGGTTAATGCAACAGGTTAGAAAGTGGGAGACTGTGAGTTCTAGTCCCACCTTAGGCACAAAGCCAGCTGGGTGACCTTGGGCCAGTCACTCTCTCAGCCCTAGGAAGCAGGCACTGGCAAACCACTTCTTGCCAAGAAAACTGCAGGGACGTCTCCAGGCAGTCGCCAGGAGTCAACACTGACTTGAAGGCACGCCCATGTGCACACACACACACAGTCCAGTTACCTGACATCAGGGATTGATACTGGGGGCTAGAATGTGGGACTTCACTCAACCAGCTGAATTTCTGAGCTGAATAAAGCAACTTTAATCTGGGGGAAGTGTCATCTACTGCTTGTGTCAGTTCTAGGGGAAAAAAGCATATTTTGCAGAAAGGACTGAAGCCATTTAACTGGGTTAGATTAGTTCTAATGTCTTTTTCAAGAGCAGATACAACTCTAGCAAGGCTCCATGATGGCTTGCACAGACTTAGTGCCATGGGCAAAAGCTCATTCTTAGCTCCTATAGTGTCTTCTTCCTGCTTCTTTAGCCCCAAATTGCCAGAAAATCTAAAGTCTTTTCTTATTTTGTTTGTTGTGACACAGTCCCTAGTCTAGTGGCTGTCCCCCTCCCTAAAGATGCCAGTCTTTGGGAGCAGGAAATGAACTGCCAAGGCAGGGTAGCCTAGAGCAGATGGTCAACCAAAAGACACAGCATTGGTTTCTTGGAACTGAGGGTGGCCCACTTAGCACTGTAACATTTTCATCCCATTTGTCACCACCGTAGCTTTCTTTACTGATTCCATGACTACAAAAATACATGGTAGGTGTGAAAAGAGATCCAGTCCAGCTGTCTCTCAGAAGACATTCAAAATATTTTCAAGGAAAAAATGTCCGGTCATCTCACAGAATA